ACCTAGTAGCTTAAATAATACCTTAAAATACTATTTTATATACTAGAAAGAAGGCTATTAGTTAATAAACTATACTAAAAAGGAATAAAAAGGTACTTATAATACCTAAAATACCTATAAAATCTACTAAAAGCCTTTAAATAATAAAAAGTATTAGGCTTTCTTAGTAGCCTTTAAGGAAACCTTAGAAAAGATATTATTAATTTAGAATAAGGTTAATATCTATATTACTACCTTATTTTCTAATAAAAATAACTTTTTAATAAGTAAATAAAAAGATATATAAGTATTCTTTTTAAAAGCTATTAAAGCTTTTATTATAATAAAGAACTAATCCCCTAAAAAGATTATATATTTCTTTATTAATATCTTTATTAAATATACTATCTATACTAAAGATCTATTCTAAAGTATTTTTAATATTTTTAATTATAAAGAATAATATATAGAGAATATTTTTAAAAAAATCCTTTTTAATATAAATACTATTAATACTTTTAATATTAATATAATATAAATAAAAATATTAATAAAACTAATTCTAAGCCTTTAGGTTATAGAATTAGCCTTTATTATAATAATATACTTTAATACTAGCTTTATAACCTTTATTAGTAAGATTATAATACTTATAGTACTTAAAGTAATTATATTCTAGATATTACTAATTACTATATTATTCTTACTTTCTATTAAGAATATAGATACTCTAGGGATTTAGTTAAATAATATTAATAATATACTTTATTAAGAATAGCTAAAGGTCCTTATTATAAAATACTAGGGATACTTTTAGTAAATACTATATACTATTAAAGCTACTATTTTCTACCTAATAAAAGGAAAGCTTTAGTATTTATATTACTACTTTAAGTACCTTTTAATAGCTTACCTTAGCTAAATATTAGAATATATAAAAGAGGAATTTAATAAGGAAGTACTAAACTACTTAATAGTTACTTATAAATAGTATTAGCTATATATTAAGTCTTTTAAATAGTTCTAATTTACCTTAAAAAATAAATATAAATTTAACTATAAAATACTAGCTAATATAATATATCTTAGTAATTAATAACCTATTTTATATATATTAAATACTACTACCTTCTTCTAGGTAGCTTAATTCTTTTATAGAAGTATAGAAAGCCCCTTAAAGAGTACTAAAAGCCTTTAAAATATACTTTAGTATTACTAGATTAATATATACCTTAAACCCCCTAAATAGATTATTTATAATACTAGAAATAACTTTTTATTTATTAAATTCTATAAATATACTAAGAAACTAGATATTTAAGTATATTTAATACTTATAAAAGCCTATAATATAATTAATAAGTTAAAATACTATTATACCCTTTTTTAATATATTTATAATATTATTTATAAAAAACTATAAAGTATTTTAGGTATTTATAAATACTTATAATTTACTATTAAGGCTATAAATAACTCTATTAGCCTTAATAGCCTAGTACCTACCTTACTAGTCTTTAGTACCTACTCTTATCTTTTAAAAAGCTTTTTACTATACTCTTTAATAGCTTAATATACTAAAGCCCTTTAGAAGGCAACTAATATAACCTAGAAAGCCCTTTCCTTATAGTAAATATATAAAGTACTAACTATATATAATAGCCTTAATATAAGCCCCCTATACTACCTACTATTATAGTTAGATATTTATATTTAATATAAAAATAATAGCTAGACTAGCTTTTATAAGCTAATAAGTATAAATACTAGAAAATATACTATAGAAATACTATCTAGCTTTATTAGCTTTTATATATTTATTATATACTTATTCTTTATTAAGAAAGACCTAAATATAAACCTAGAAGTACTATAAACCCCTAAAAATAATACTAATATTAAGTATAACTTTAATAATAACCTAAATTATAATTATTAAGCTTTTAAGATTATTAAAGCTACTTTAAAGCCTATTAAAGCCTTTCTAAAGCCTATTAAGATTACTTTAAAACCTATTAAAACTATTTTAAAGTCTTTTAAAGCTATTTTAAAGCCTATTAAATAAATCTAAATTATTACTCCTTATAAACCTAGGTATTTATAAGTAATTCTTAATATTAAAATAAAATACTAGTTTATAAAGTATTAAATTCTATAAAAAATAACTAAAAATAAAATATTCTTTTTTATTAAAAAAAAAATAATATAAAATACTATTTAAAGTTTTAAAAAAATAGTATACTTCTTAATAATAAACCTTTATTCTTTACTTTTATTAAAAAGAAGTTATAAAGCTTTTTAGAATATAAAGTCTTTTAATTTATTAAGTTTAACCTTATTATTTATTATAAATACTTATTTAAATTCTAAATAATTAATAAAATTAAATCTAATATTATTAAAAAGCCTATAAAGAAAATATATATAGTTTTATATAGTTATTAAGACTATAAAAAAGATATATTACTTACCTAATTACTAACTATTTAGAAAATAAGTTAATATTTAATTCTAAGCTTTATATTAATTTAAATCTAATAAGGTTAACTACTATAGCTTTAAGATATTACCTAGGCCTATATATAGGCTAGAACTTATCTTTAATAGTATATTCTTACCTAGATTCCCTTAGAACTTTACTATCTTTACCTTAAAAGTACTATTATTAAGGTTATCTTACTATTATATAGTATTCTTAAGTTTAATACTTACTAGTAGGTAATATACTTTACTTACTACCTTAAGAAGCTTAAGATATTATTATTTACTTATAATTAATACTTTTTATTAGCCTTAGGCTTTAATTTAGGTATTATTAATATATAAATTAATAATATAATTAGCTTTAATATTACTATTTTTAATAAATAAAAAACTAATATCTTTATTATTATTAGATTTTAAGCTAAGTTAAAAGAGATATTTATAATAAAGAATCTATTAATATTTAATAAATACTATATTTCTTTAAATACTAATAATACTATCTTAATAGTCTTAAAAGAATAATTAAAGAAACTCTAGCTATTAACTAACCTAAAAGGGTATATTAAATAATAAGCTTAAAATACCTACCTAACCTTAATTTACTAACTAGAAGCTTTATTTAACTTATTTATTACTATATAATTTAAAAAGCTTAAAAAAGATAATTTTAAATACCTAAATACCTATATTTAATAATAAATTAAGAATACTACTTAAGGCCTTTAGTACCTACTAATCTAATTAAGAATAACTAAGCTATTTATTTTTATTAATAGTTCTTTTATTAATAATAAAGATTTAAATTCTTAGTTAAAATATATAATTATTCTAGGTAATAAAGAACCTATTAACTATACTAAAATTACTATTTAAAGTAATATTATTATTTAAAGCTTAATAAAAAGTAAATATATTATTTAAAATATATTAGTATTAAAGGTATATAGTATAGTTCTAAATACTAATATAGGCTATACCCTTTTTACTACCTTAAATAAGATTATAAAGTTAATAAGCTTAATAGTAATTCTAATAGTAATTTATATAGATTTATTTTTACTATATAAATACCTAATAAAGGCTACCTTAAATAAAATACTATAGAAGCTAGTTAATAATAACTAGCTAATACTATATATTTAAAGCTAGGTTAGCTATACTATAAAAGCTATAAAAAGGCTTAAAGACTATATAATTTAGCTAAAAGAAGAAACTACTAATATTATATTAATAAGTATTATAATAAATATAGTTAGCTAAGTATAGTAAATATTTAGTAAGATATACTATATATAAAGGTATATAATAAATAGATTTATACTATATATAGATTATATATAGTAGCTAGTTATACTATATAGTATATATATATAGTAGTTATACTATATAATAGTATATAAAAAAGTCTTAATACCTATAGCCTTAATATAAGGTATTATAAAGGCTATTATAATAGGTAATTAAGCTAATAAAGCTAGATTACTATAAAAGTGCTATTACCTTCTATAGGTAAGTAAAGTAACTACTTATAAGCTATTAACTATTAATATATATAACTACTAATTATTCCTTTATTCCTATAATTTCCTAATAATACCTAAGGTATTACTTATTTATATATTTAACTATAGCCTCTCCTTTTTATAGTTTATTTTATTAGTTAATTAAGAATTATTATTATATAACTATTCCTATAAAGTACCTCTATAAGCACTCTATACTTATAATCTTATAACTATTACTTACTTAGGATAGTAATTCTAATACTTATTTATTATAATATTTAAAAGCCTTAAATTTCTTAAGTTTTACTTTTTTTATTTCTTTTTAATAATATATAATTATATATCTTCTTTAATCTTTAATATATATACTACTACTTTACTATTCTCCTTACTTTTACCTAAACTAAACTATTCTTATTTTAACTACTATATTATATTTATTCTTTTTTTTATTAATTATTTATTATTATTATTACTTTCTTATATACTTTTTTTAATATAATATTCTCTTATTAAAAAAGAATTATATTATTAATAAAAAAAGTAAAAGAATTTATTATTATTATTCTTATAAATATTAATTAATAAGGTTAAATATATTATTTTATTAATTTATTATAGTATTTTAGTAATAAAAAGAAAGAAAATATTACTTTTAGGTAGGAAAAGTGTATCTAGGTATAAATACTTACTAATCCCTTATTAGTCTATTATATGCTAATATAACGTACCCTATACTTGGATAAGGTATTCTTCCTAACCTTGTTTGATGTGTAGCCGCCTGTAACACGTGCCAGACCTGCACTGTAACACATTAGCTGCTGCCACGCGCCACGCACCACGCCCCACATACCCACATACCTCTCGCCCCTCCTTCCCTTCCCACTCCCAACCTTCCCTTCCCACTCCCAACCTTCCCTTCCCACTCCCAACTACCATCATCCTTTTCCACATTTGCATTTCACCTTTACCTTGACACCCACCATTCAGACTGTTATCCCCTCCGTATGCTCAACCGCAAGCACAGGCATGCCTCCCCCTTTACTTCCAGACTCAAAGAAGACCTGGTGCCGTCAGGTTGAGGCCCACGGCCTAGAAGATGACACCCTCTTCACGATTACCCAATTGAATTCTGCCTCAAAGATCGGACTACCTCAGTTCCTGATGCTCCAGGTTCTTTACCGTCGAATTCAGCCGATTTCGAAACTAGAGAAGCTGTTCCAAGATGGTGCGGTCACGGCAGAAAACTGGACAGCCGCCAAAACCTGCCTCGCCTCGTGCCAGCAGTACCAGGGTTATATCCACAGCATATTTTCTGGAGAGGCAGTTATTGGGTCCTTTGCACCGGCTCGTCTATACCAGAAGCAATCATCAGAGCTGATCGAGCAACCAGACTCCAGTCCGGAAGTGGACAGTTCAAAGATATTTCTTCCAAAACGGGTAACCCGCAGCCAGACCCGAGCGGAACGAGGCTCCCCAACACCCAAGTCCAGTGCGGTAGAAACTGAGGAATTTGCGAAACTAGCATTGCATACACCTAAACAGCCGTCAGGAGCAGGAGATGGCTTCTCCTCATCATCGGCAGGAACCCCATCAAGCTACCTATATAGCCCTAACAATGGCACCCCAATTCCTCCCAGCGTCGCAGACAAGGTTTACCGGTTTATTGAGGATGAGCAAATTGTCAACTTTTCTCTCATAGTGCTCTTAGACACACTCATCATGATGTGTCCTGCGGTGAAAGGCTCTTGGAGCCCCTACCGCTGCCCCTTTTCAGTCCGGGACGCTGGAGTGGAGATCTATCAAGCCCGTGTTGACGGTGTATTCCGCCCACAACATGACCGACCGGGCAACATGATCGTCGAGGTCAAGCCGCATAGCCGACATGTAAATCAGATGGATGTCAGCATGCAGGAGTCCGCGCAAATGGCGGCATGGATCGCCGACTACCCGGATCTAGAGAGCCGGATCCGCACCAAGAAGGAGAAGGCCGCTCTGGGAAAAGGCAAAGAGACTGTGGGAAAGCCTGTGGCACGGCCGGAGCAGGCGAAGGAGGAGGACCCAATGCCGCCGATGCTCAAATATCGGCGCGCTCTCATTTCGCAGAACCGCCGGGATGTGTACATCACAATTGGCAGTTACGACGAGGACTACATTGACTATATTACAAATGTCTGCCAGACCAAGTCTTTCCTTGTTATGGACTGCTATGGGCCATTCTCTGTTACTGATGCCTCAAACATGGAAAGACTATGCCATATTATGCTTGCTCTATGTCTCCAGGGACGGATTCTTGATAAGTAGGGCACAACCCAAGGTATCTAGAAATTAGTAGAATAGCCTATAAAGACTAAGTACCTCTATTGTTATTTTAGCATTAAGCGCTTTTTTAAGAAGAAATTACCTTTCCTATTTATTAAAATTAACTATATAAAAGGTATAGAATAAATACTAAAAATATATTTACTATATAATATAAAAGTTTAGAAATTAAAAGTACCTAGATTATATTATTAGTAAAAAGCTTTAATATTAATAATATTACTTTTCTTAATATATAATTTATATTAATTTTATAAAGTTTTAAAATATATAAAGTATTATAAAACTAAAAGTAAATAATTACTATTTTTACTATTTTTACTATTTTTATTATTTTTATTATTTTTATTATTTTTATTATTTTTATTATTTTTATTATTTTTACTATTTTTACTA